AATGGCATTTGCGCGAGAGTGAGAGCCATATGTGGGTGAATTTGTGCTGGAAATGGAATTAGTAATGAAGTTTTGCCAATGTTTTATATTGTCCAGGCTTTCCCCTTTCCCCTTAACCCACCGAGGCCCCCCTTAACCCGTGGCAGCAGCAGCAACAGCAGCAGGGACCATGTAATTGCGTTTGGCCGCGCTTCTCTGATTTCTCTGATTTCCAAGCGGATCGCGATGTGTTTGTGTGCGATTCGAAGTGCATTTTCAAGTGAAATTGAAATGGAATGCCAAGAGGGTATCCAAAGCCGCCCGAAACCCTCCAGCGCGGCAGCTCGGCAGTTGCGAAATGGGAAATAAAACATTTCATTTAACAGCGTGACGGTATACAAAAAAGAAATGCAATAAATGTTAACAGCAGCAAACCGCACAATGCCAGCTATATGTGTATATATGTATACCTTTGAGCCTGCATAATGTTGGGCAACGGGAAAACGAGGGGGGAAAGGAAATTAAATTCAATTTATTGAGCTCGCTTTCTGCAGAGAACTTCAACTAATTGCATCAAATTGAAAATGGAAATTGAATCGAAAGCGAAACAAAATCGAAATTAAATTCCAAATGGGTTAATTGCATGAGATACTCGGCATATTTACGAAAGCAGCTTATTAAGTCTCTTTTGGCAGTGAGTTTTTCCTCGAATAATTTGCAAAATATAAAGATTATTCAATTATTTCAAGCTAAGTGATAGAGAAAGGCTCAGCTTTTAAAAGAAGAAAAAGAATAGGGAGTTGCCAGGAAATAACTCTGTTTGTAAGATTTCTAGTTAAATATTTTGAAAATTTTTTTTAATATAATATCAAAACAGAAATATAAATTAATTATAAATATTATTTGTATAATATTTGGATTTTTATTCAAGTTTTTCCTCCGCAGAACTGAGTATTTTCTGAAATGGAAATGTAAAATTAAAACTTTACCCTTAGGAGTTTTGCCTACATCTTATTTTTTTTATTTTTAATATTCTTATTTCTTTATTCATCCTTTTTTGACGTTGCCTTGCACTTTGTTTTGACTTTGGCTTCGGTTTTCCCATAAAACCAAGTTCAAATTGCGCGAAAATGGCAGCTGCAGAAGCCGAACAAGAGGAAGACGATGGCATGACCCGCTGCACTAATGTCACACACTCAAGCACACACTTAAGGGCGCACACACACACACACATAGGGACACACAGCAAGGGGAACACAGAGAGAAATGGATTTAGTCAGTCTGCCAGACAAGTTTTCTCAACTCAAGCAGCGGCAAAGGCAAACAAACAAACAGAGTTAGCGCCGGCAATTGTACACTGAAACAAAAAGAGTGAAACAAACATAAGGAAACTGTCTTAAATAGTTTTGTTTTACATTCAAATGGATTCCTAAAATGGGACTCAAACAATTTATTATGTAACATTTAATAATGAAATTTTCAAATTTTTCTCGGCTTAAAAAAATCTCCTTTGAAAAAACTTAAACTACGATTTTTATTAAATTTCTGTATAATTAAATGTTGTATTTATTTTAAATAATCTTTTTAATTTGTTTATATATTCTATTAAGTCCTTAATTATGTCCCCATCTAACTTTTAATTTATCAAATGGAAAATCTCTTAGTTGTTAGTTTTGCATACAATATAATTGCAGTGTACATGTGTATCTGTGTGCAAATGTAAAGCATAAGATAGACAATTACACTTTTGCCACTGCCAGAGGGAGAAGGCGCGAGTCGGTGGGGAAAGAGAGAGCGGGAGAGAGAGAGTCGACATTTAGACAAACGCTGAAAGGTAAATGAACTTTATCAGCCGAACAAGAAACGACGTGTACAGACACTCGCACACGTGCACACCACTCATTGTCTGAGTGTGTGGGTGTGCCTCCACTTTTGGTTATGAAATTAAATTGCACACGCAGGTGTACATACATATATAAATTTATTAAATTATAGAATACCTTCTAGCTGCCTTAGCACTAAATTTAAATTATTAAAAAAGTCTTTTGGCACGTAAAAGGAACAAATAAACAAATAAACTTAATATATTTATTAAGCAAGCCAGAAATACATCTATAAATAAATTCAACAACACCTATTCTGAACATTTCTTAAACTTTGCAAGGATATAAACTTTAAAATCGACTGAAAAGTTAGATTTCCTTTTACAAAATTTCCAACAATTCCTGGCAGAACCCCAGCCAAGACCAAAGACTTGTATTTATTTAAAAAGCCTTCATCTGCAAACATTGTAAATAGAGAAATACAAGAGTGTAGTTTACCCAGATAAATAACATTTATAAATACAATTTCGTTGCCCTCAACCGAAATGCCACTGATGACATTTACTATTTTTATCGTGAAATACCTTTTGCCACTTTCAATTTAACATTTTAACAGCAGCCAGCAAAAGTGTCGGCAGCAAATGGAAAATCTACAAAAAATATATATGTATATATACATAAATATAAGAAAAAAATAGATGCGAGAATGTTGGGAAAACGTTAGGAAAATGGTAGGAAAACATGAAAAACTGGGAGTGGAAGAGGGAGATGCGGGGTGTGCATTGCACAAAAGACAAACAATGTGAAATGTAGAAGGAGCTGAAACAGATTTTCCAACTGCAGTAATAAATGATAAACAAGTGCAAGCTGGCCAAATGGGCGTGGCAGGATGGTTTTCCATTTCCATGGCCCCCCAACCCCTTCAATTTCCCCCAGTTGCCTAGGCTGATATTGAAAACGGCTGCATGCAAAAAGCTAAGCAAATGCTTTTCCTGTGTGTATGTGCATGTGTGTGTGTGCCTTTTCACACTTTTGCATTATTTATGCAGGTCCTGCCAGTGTGTGTGTGTGTGTGTGTGTGTGTGCCAGCGTACGTGCCTGGAACTGCAACGACAGCTGCTCCTGTTTCAGTTTCAGTTTCCAGGTCCTGGCTTCGGTCCTGCTGCTGGACCAAACTCCTCCTCCTCCTCTACAGCACACATGTATGTATAGTATTTATTCCATGTACATATTGTAAGTGCCCCATGCCTCGTGTCAAACTTCTAATTAACCTCGTAATTCATGCAGCCCAACGGGGCCAGCGGCGGGCAACGGCTTGCCTTTATTGTCCCGGGAACGTGGCCCGGCAAATGACCCAGAAATTACCAGCGATTCCGATACACATTTTCGATGGTAAAATACATCTGGTATTTAAGAGGTGATTCCCCCCAAAGCGATGACCATTCAAAGTGTAAGCCAGGGATTGTTAATCAATTGTTGCCGAGCTAGGAAATCGGGATTTAAAAAAAAATGTATTTAAAATATTTAATATATTTCATTGCATTTACCAAGGCCCTAAAAAATAGGCTATACATTTGAGGGCCGCTTGTTACTGTCAAACCAAATTGAAATTACATTATTTAATTGGTTAGTTGGCCTGTTCAAACAGTGAAAACAAATAAACATAAATTGATTGCGATTGTATGATTAATTGTTGAGTTCTCTCTCTGGCAAAGCAAATTACAATTTGTTCAACAGTTACAGCCAGATGTAATAATTACAACTCGACCAGACACACACACAAAACAAATACGATACTTTTGGGTCAGGCAACATCAAACCACAGCAGAGCTTTCGGTTCTCCAGAAACTAAACCAGTTTGAGAATGAAATAAAAATATATAAACACAGACCAGTTATTGTCTTAGTTTTATTAAAATGCGTTTTTTGTTTGACTTTCTTCTTGATTTTTCTTTTCTTCTTCTCCCGCCCAATGGTAGTAAAAACTTGTCAAAGGGGCAACAACCAAAAATGGAACTCTGGGCAACAACAATTTCTGCCAATTTGTGTGCAATTTAAAGTGTCCCAACGACGGAGACCCTTGGCCATATACTGCAAATACACAAAAAAGTTTTCAACTATTTAGTCGAGAGGGTAAAGCTGGGTGAGTGGAGGCCAAAACTTGGCAGACACGGACACAGATGAGCAGACCGCAATGCAACTGACCGCGCGGATACACTGGGCGCAAAGTTAGGACCCCTGAGTCATGGGGTTGTTGCCCTCCCCAAAGCTGTAAAACTAATATACTTCTAAAAAGAAACTCTCTTTGAATATAAGTATTGAAATTGTATCCCAGTTTCTCTCAGTGTGGCCATAAACCGTTCTGCGGCTCTGCCAGGGGGTGGTTTTAGAGGGTTAACTTCGCTGCATTAACGCTGACCGAAAAATCTCTGCAGCTGAAGTTGAACTTACAATTTTTGCAACCAAAAAAAAAAAAAAAAAAGAAAGTATAGTAAAAAACCTTTTTTTTCGCGGACAAAGCAGCCTCCTCCCCAGCCACCGTTGTTGTTGCAACAATAACGTTACATTACAAGTGGCAGGCGAGAGCATCGAGTTAGTTAGTTTGCCGCCACACCCCCTTCCAGCCCCCCGCCCCCTTGCCCCTCTGCGGTCTTGTTAGTCTCGGCTGGCAAGTTGGTTAAAAAGTTGTTGATGCAGTTACCACTCCCCCATTGCCGCGACCCCTGACGGCACCCTTTTTGGACAGACGACATTTGTGCTAATGGCTGCCAACGACCTGGACAGCAGAAGCCACCTACCACCTACCACCCATTTTCCAACCGCCCAACACATGGCAAACATGTTGCATACTTTGCGGCGTAAGCGAAAAATGTTCAGCCCAACTATTTTTTGGCCAAGCAAACACAGTCGAGAGCAGGGCCCAAAAACGGGTGAGTGAGTGGCCACCACAACATTTGTGTTTGAGAATAATTAAATTAAGCCAACTCCCGACCGAGTGTCAGTCTTTGTTTATAGATTGCAACAGAAAGGATATTAAAAAGTTACAAAATCTAAACAGGGAAAAATCATTTAAACTTATTTGAATTTCTCTACGATTATTTAGCATTTCCCTATGATTTAAGAATGATAAAATATCAAGGATAAATAATTAAAGTTCAACTAGCAGGCCTGGCTAAAAACATTCTCTGATTCCAAAAAACCCTTAAATAATCTGTCAGTTTGGGCTTGCTTCTAAACAAAATCAGACGAGCTTTAACAAAATTATAATTTTCAGATAAAAAAGTCTGTAAAAATCAGTTTTCTTTTAATTGAATTAATCAGTTGAGTGGCAGCCCGTTACCCACACATCCCAGCTAATTTCCCGCTCTTCGTTCACAGTTTTTTTCTGGCATTATGGTGAAGCCAAGGAAGCGTCCTTTGCGGCTGATGAAAACCGCCTTGGCCTTTCTGAATATCCTCTACAACGATCGCTTCTGCTGGACCTTTATCAAGAGCTATGGACTCTTTGCTTTGGCCATTCCGTTGGCCAAGCAATTCGATGGCTTCGAAATATTGCCCTCCAATGTCTAACTTCTTTCACAATAAAAAAGGACTTGCTGCTGCATATATTTTTAGCTGGGTTACCTTTGTTTTTATTCTTAAATACTCTTAGAGGATATCAGTGTCCAATGGAGATGGATAGCGGATATATAATCCGCTCTCGGAGACAATACCCCTGCAACATCTTGTTGCATTTGTAATTTCCGGTATCACATACACACACACGAGGGGAAAGAAAAATGTGTCAGCACACAGGACAAAGCAAAATACAAACAAAACTCAAGTTTTCTCCATGCAACGGAATGCTGCCAGGACTCGAGACATGCCTCCCTCTGGAAAGTCCTTTGGCTTTTGCAGAGGCAGTGCGGTTCATGGCTGTTAAGTCACTCAGCTGGCAACCAAGGCTGGTTTATCATTCCATTTACCTGACCTGCCTCTCAATTAATGCTTTTAATAAAGATTTGATGGTTAATTTAGTTAAATTTAAGGAAATCTGTAGCCAAATTTCATACAGTTTTGTCGCAAACTTTAGCCAAGTCACATGCATGCGTCATTTGCTTGTGGCTCTCTCTCCCTTTTGCTTGGCTTTTACTTATAAGTCCCTCGCCCTGCAGTTTTCCTGCAGCATTTCTCCACTTTCCACTTTTCCTTGCCGTCCCTTTGAGCTGCAATTGTCAGTTGACAATGCAGGAGGCAACCGCAGCAGACGGGGAAAGCCCCAGTAATATCCCCAGGATTTGCTGACATCTTAAAGACAGATCCCCGCCACTTACCCGACGCTTTAATTGAGCCTTCACCATTTGACAGGCAGTCGTCGGTGGCAGAGATCCCGTGATAGGCGAATGGCAAATTAGCCAATTTGCAATTAACTCACCTGAAACGAGAGGAGAGAAGAGGGGGGCAGTTAGTAACCGAATTAGCGGGAAAACACAAACAAGGAATGGATTTTCCAAAAGGTTAATTGACGCAATTTTCAGGCAACTTGAGCTTATTTACACCCGCTGCCAAAAGGGGTTATATCTGCAGGATAAAGACCATAAACTGGCAACATGGCGGAATGGCGGAATGAGAGGACCCATTGTTGTCACGATAAAGCAAGAACACACACACACATGAATCCGTGCCAACATAAAGATTTCCATTTCCATTTCCCTGAGAACAACGACAACTCAGACAACGATGTGTAAAACAATTGTGCTCGCAGTTAATTTGTGTGCAGCGAAAATCCTAGAGCTACCCTGAACACTGGGGAAAATGTTGTGGTAATCTCCTTATGTAATATTTTATTTAAAACAAGATTTATCTAGGTATTTTCATATTTCTAAATTATTTTAATTTATTTACAAATTAAATATTTTAAATATTGAAAAGCATTTAGATTTTGTTTCTGTGTATGCTCTATGATGATATTCCTGCTTGTGACAGACAATTGAAAAGGCAATACACACACACACACTCACAGAAACTCACAGCGACACACACGGCGTATACGCAATGTGCCAAAGTTTATACGAAATTAATGTTAATTACAACGCGAGCGAAACTATCCATCTCTGTCGCACCCGGTGGCAGCAACTGTGTCCTGTCAGGATATGAAAAGCGGAGGAATGGGTCTGGGGAAAATGGGGGAAAATGGGGAATGCAATTTGCCAGCAATGCATTTAACAAGCTGAAAGCTGAACAAGCTTAAGCCGGCGGATTCTGGTATCGAATCCATCGAATGAGTCGACAAAGGTGAATCGAATTGAATCGAATCGAAAGGGAATGATTAATAACCATAATCGATGAATGTTAAATGTCTGTGGAGATCGGGAGGGGAAGTGTTTCAAGCGAAAGTTCAATGATTTTTGCAGCAAGTCTTTAAAATTGTTAGTATATATAGAATATACATTTTTTAAATTTTTATTCATAAGAAAACATCACAGGAAATTAACTTAAAATAAAAAGAATATAACTATTTATAAAAGGGAAAATTTTGTTTAATTTAAGCTTTTTAAAAGCTTAAATAAATTCAAAAGAAATATATAATTATTAAGGATCAACCTTACTCTCAGCTAACTTACCCTAAAACTCTTTTTGCGCCAACTTACCATTTCTTTAACTATTTTCTTTCATTGAATTATAGATTATAATAATATTAATAAACAATAAATTTACCAAAAAAACAAAAGAATTTGCTAGTTAAAGAGCTAAGCTTCCTTTTGATTCCAACCGCCTGACACCCCGTTGCCTTTCCGGCGTGTCCAAATCATCGATCATCTTTATCGACTAATCAATCGAACTCACCGTTAGCCGTGCCGATAAATCCCGCTTAAGCCATTCGACTGCACAAAGGCAGCATTTTTCTTTCAGCCAGTCCTTTTTTTGTGTTGGATTTTCGTCTGTTTGTCTTGTTTTTTGTTTAGTGAATTGAACAACTTTGCCAACTGTTGGGATTCCCACGACCCGTGGCCCACCTGTCACGCCCAGTCACATGCACTGGCGAAAAAATCAAATGCCAAATTGTACATACATTCATCACTTATTTTCTCTCTTTCTGCCAGTGTAGCTGCTTCTTTCCCGATTCTCCGTGATGTGGCACAAATGGCAATGCGCTTAACGTGTCTCGTGTTCCGTGTTGTTGTTGCTGCTGCTGCTGCTGCTGCTTTTCCTGCATTGTACGGCGCTGACACTGCAGCAATCGACGGCAGCAACAAAGGACTCCTCTCACACCATCCCCCACATTTCTCCACATTCCTCCATTTTGTTGTGGCACACGTTCGCCCAGCCCTTTCCCCTGGCATTTTCCACACATTTCTGCCGGGGATTGAAGACACCTTGGCCCACGCACAGACAATTTATAAAAGCCACAACAAATGTCTGAGGCTGTAAACTTTCCGTAAGTCTTTGCAGCAATGTCTGCCAGCGGCAACAACAGCGGCAGCAACCGGAGACAAGGACGATGACGACGACGACGACGATGACGTCGTCACGCGGATGTTGCGACGCGACTCTGAAGGATTTTCATGGCTGGCAAAGGTTTTCCCCCTGCTGCACGTCTTGTGTTGCTGCTGAGGCTGCTGCTGCTGCTGGCGGTTGTGTTGCATGTTGCCGTCAGCATGTCAGAGCCCTAACACGTAGCAACACACACCCCACACAAGCGCACAAAATGCGCTTACAGCCATGTAAGCACATGTACTCGAAGGACCTGCCTTGCAAGCCGAAGCACTAATATCCTTTCCGCAGGGAAAAACCTTAGTTAACTTTAGTGGAATTATGGAAATTCCATAAAAGATTCAAGGGTAGTGAAGAATTCAATTATTTTATGGCCAGATTTTGGAAATTGGAAACCAACTCAATGGAAGGGTAGAGCCCTGCCCCGTGGAACCGACATTGTCAGCGTCTTAGCGCTTCGTGACAGCAGTTTTCCTGCCACCGACTGCTGTTAACATTTCGTCCGGCTTTCCCAGCTTTCCCATCAGCTGTTGTTGTGCCAGAGTCTGGGCTTTCATTAGGCTAATCCAGACATGATCATGCATATATGGAATATATATAAGCCCAGACGGTAGCGTTGAACCCGAACCCGAAAGTAAGACCCAGGCAGGAGAGCTCAGCATTTTCCTTCTTTTTTTAATATACACAGGCCTGTGCATGGGTTTTCCACCTCAGCCTTGGATTTCCCAGCCTCCGGTGGTTCCCCTCGGGCAGCATGACAAACTTTTTTATGTAAATTCTGAAGCTGCTGCTGCTGCTGCTGCTGCTTCTGTTTCAGTTGTCGCTTCTTGCCATTTGTGCACCTGTGTGCGCCCATCAAAAAGGAAAAGGTAGGAAAAACTTTGCTCCGCAAAATATGCTCCAATGAAAATACTCATCTAAGGGGAACGGGGGAGCAAAAGGGAGCAGCCGTAAAGATTTCATTTTCATGTCCCTGAGAAATCTGGAGTCGCATCTAATCGAATCAAATTTCCTCGAAACACACACACTTTTCAGGTCACTTTCCAACTTTCGAAACACTTGACAATCTCCGCCGGGGTCCGGCCCCCGGAAAAGTTTCAATTGCCTGGGTTTCCCACACACACACACACTTTCGGCCAGGTCAAAGTTCGTCGGAGGCTATCCCCCAATCAAATTGAACCAAAACGCAGCACACAACTTTTTGGGCCAAACAAAATTTGTGGCCGCTGCAGCTGGCCAAAAGCTGGAAAATTAATTGAAATCGAGGCATGTTGAATGGGGAATAGATTCAAGGGGAAAGGGCAATGATTGATTAAGTCCGGGAAAATCCGCGGGAACAAGGCACGGGGAAAGTCAAGTCAAGTCGCATTAAGTTCTGGAGAGAGAGAGAGAGAACGGAATCGAATCAAGTGGTGTCGAGTCGAGTCATCATCAAATGAGATTAGACAGACAGCCGAGAGATTAGACATTCGCTGACTGACCTGAGACATGGTCGGAGGGCGACAGGCATCTGTCTTCTGGCTTCTCAACAGTCATTTTCCGGCGAATACGAAATTGCCTTAATCCACTTGTATCATCCACAGACCAGGAAATAGGCAGTGAGTCTCAGAATCGACACGGGAAATGCAAAGAAAGCCGATATGCCAATGGGGGGAAAACCAGAAGGAAAACTAGAAGGGTATCTCTCCCGCAGAAGTTGGCCAGTAATTAGGCCACATTATAATGTATAAAACTAAGGTCTAAGCTCTTCTAGGAGTGTGTAATCTAGACCCAATAAGACATTCCAATCCCCTTGAATGGTTTTAGTTGGTAAATCAATTTTCTATATATTTTGAAAATACAATAAATACAAAAGAAAAGCGTATAACATTTGGCCTTCTTAGAAATTGGAAATAATTACCAGTAATCATAATAAACGGACATAAAAAATTAAAGAGGGTAGCAAGATGGCAAGGGACTTGTGCCTTGGCAAGGGGATTTTTTTCCGCAAATGTCTCGCACCCGTGACGGCCATAAATATGATGATAATTAAGTGTGTCTCGCACATATACTCAATTTAGCCTTATTAACCCAAAAAATGACACAGATATTAATTTTCCACACACACAGGGACACATGTGCCCTCGCACTGCGCCATTTTCCGCAGGGCAAAGTCATGAGAAGTGGCGCCTTGGCATAAAGCCTAAACGTAAACGAGTAAATTGGCAGATTTAAGCAGTAAACAACAAAACGGCCAACAAAACAGGCCCAAACAACACCTCCCCCTGACTGCCTGCCTGCCTCCCTGCCTGCTTCCTCATCCTTGGTTGCCGGAGTATAAAGAAAAAAATGTCAACAATCTATTGACAGCTGAGACTGTAACTGATTGTAGGGCGGCTTTCAGGAGGAGTAGGAGGAGCCAGCTACAGGGGCGACGCCAAAAGGGGTGGGCTCCAAAGCAGGCCACGTAGCAAACAAAGACATAAGCGTTTCTCACAAAAAAAATATCTATATCTATATGGGGAGGAGCCAGGGAAATCGAAGCAGGTATTACTAGAGTTTCTATTTAAATAAAGAAAAAAAAATATAATAAAATTCTATACCTTTAAAATCATTGAAAATTGTTACTTTTGTTGCTCAGAAATTTAATTAAACCATAAAATTAAAAAAGCCAAAAATAAATATAAAGGTTAACAAGCCAATTGGCTGCGTGTTTGCCTTAAATTAAGATTTATTTGCATTTAAACAACACCTCCACTTTCGCTTCTAGTTCTCTAACCCCAATTTTCCCCTCAACCTGAACATCAAACGGAATGGAACCGGAATTTGGGGGAGACTGAAGAAAGCACTGGGAAAAAATATACGAAAGGCCTCAGTTTTTGGGGGAAGCAGGTTGTGTGTGAGGCTCCTAATTTAGATGTCAATAATTTTGCCCAAGAAAACACCCTCCTCAATGAATACTATGTGTGTTTTTCGCACCCCCGAAAACCATTAGAAAATAAATAAAATATCAAAAAAATAAGAGAAGAGAGAGAAAACATAATGCAGGAGACAAAACACAGGGGCGGCAGAGTGGCACTTGTGTAGCATGTGTGCCCGATAATAATAACATCAAATTAAAATATTGTAATTCGTTTTTATGATTCCAGCGTTTTTGCTTCTAGTAGAACCCACACATACATACCCTGGCTAATTATGGCCAGGAGAGACTTATTTATTTATGGGAATTACCCAGGTTCTAGGGTATGGCATAGGTCGACCTTTTATGGTCTCGCAACCAGCGGCTATCTGAGTTCCCCACCACATATATTTATGGCCTAATATATTATATATTTATGTGTCTGTCATTTAATAAATTTTGCTGATAATGTCATAGACATCAGCGTAAAAATGACCTCCCTACACCCAGCGCCAGCGTGTGTGTGTGTATGTTTGGTGCTCTTCACATGATTTGCTTCCATGATTTGTGTATTTGGTCAAAATGGCCACCACCTCTCCCATTTGAGAAGTCAATTTTTATTGCTGTTTATTACTATTTATTTATGTTTACGGCTTGGGCCTCTGTTTTTGCCATGTTTCTAAGAACTGGATGCATGCGTATACGTAATGTTAACAGGGCGTATGCGTAATTTCGGTGGGATTTTTAAATGAGACTTGAACGTAAGGCTTTTCACATTAATTTAGAATGTAAATAATATATTTAAAAATTTGATTTAATATTTTATTTTATTGTAAATTCATTAAATTATTATTTTCATTTCTTTTGGTTTCCTTTCAATGAATTTTCCCCTCCATCAGTTTGCCGTTTAGGCAGCATTTTCCATGCTTTTCATTTGTTGTTCTTGTCGCCATTGCAAAACATTTCGCTGACTCAGCTGCCAATGTTTCGCTCCTCCAACCACTTTTCCTTTTTCCGCCCTATTTGCATATCACATTCAACATTTTCTTTTTCTTTTTTGTATTTTTTGTTGTGCGTTCTCAAGTGGGATTCATTTCGATGCTCAAAAATTGCTCAAAAGCCTTCAAATTGTGAGCCATAAATAACAAGAAGAAAAAAATGTAAGGATGCTCGGGGAAAACCAAACTGAGGGCACAAAGAAAGCTGCTTTTGTACTTGAATCGATTGTTGGCAATGAAGTCAATTACATAAACGGCATCGGCACCAAAGAAGAGGGTTTGGTGCTCGGGGAAAACATGAGGTAAACGTATATATAATGAAGAGGAAAATGAGTTGGTATTTCATGGGGAAATTTACGGAAGAAAACAGGAGTGTAATTTTAAACAGAGCTCTGTTTGTTTTAATAATTTAAATATATTTTAATAATAGTTATAAATACTAAAGGATCTACAGAAAATAGGAAATTCATAAAGCAAGATAATTAAAAATTAAGAAAGAGAAAAATCCTGGAAAACATGAGTTGTGGGAAAATCAAACGTAGGGTCAATCTCCTTTAATTTTCCCTGCCGCAACGCATACCTCTGCCTCTGCCAATTTCCGACACCAGAAGGCGTCAAAGTGACGTGTCGTCTGGCAGGTTTTTCCGCTTTTTCCCCTCATTTTCCGACCCTTTACTTTGACTTCTTTGCTTTTCCCTCTTCGCCGGTATGCGTGTGTGTGTGAAAAGCATTTAAAAGTCACTTAAGTGGAAATTAAAAAGAAATTATTCACTTTGGCACATTTCACAGCGTTTACAAGCATAAAGTGCTTTCCCAGCTTTCCCAGGTTTCCTCCGGCTGGTGCCCCCTTTTTACCCACCTCTGGCTGCCTTGCCTCAATTGCTTTTTTATTTTTTTCCCAGATTTATTTTCGGTTTGTTTGTTTGTTTGCCGTAATTGTTGTGGCTTGCCTCATTATTTGTATCTGGTCAAAAGGGAGGAAAACGGACCCAAAAACAGATATCATTTTCCACCGTGCCGGGGCCGCCCCCCTTTTTTGTGGTCCATTATCAGTGTCTTTTGAGTTTCGGGTCCTTTTTGGCTTGTGGCACATTTCCTACACTTGACCACAATATTTCTGTGGAATTGCTCGCAAATTGTTTATTGCTGACCTCAAAGCTATTTGGGCATTATGGCCCCGGCTTAGGGGAAAGGTGTTTTCCCCACATTTTCCGACCTCTAACTTGGCTTCGGGGGGCCAGATTAATTTTAATAGCAATTAGTGGATTACTTTAGAGGAAAGACTCATTTTGGGATTAGCTTTGCGGGGGGGTTGAGCTTGATTCGATTCTTCCTAAATATTTTTAGGAGATTTTCTCACAATAATTTTTATAATTTTTATCCGAATTTTGGAATTTAATTTGTTTTTGGTAAAGTCATATTTTAGCTTGGCTTTTCACTCGGTTTTTCCCCCTGCATGTCCTGAATTTGTGTCATGTTCAAAGCAAGCATCTTTTATGTCATCCGCGGCCTCATCAACTTAATCATTGAAGGAGAAGGAATCATTTGCCTGGCACAGATCCTTTGCGGGCTCTCTTTCATCCTTTCTCTCTCTCTCTCTCTTTTTATATTCTAGCTAAAACTGAAACAGAAGCCGGGAAAAGAGCAAAGCGCAGCAGAAAAAGAAAGAAAGAAAAAAGGAAAATAAATAATATAGAAAGAGGAAACACTCAGCTTCGTTGACGGCGACCCATTGACCAAGTTAAAAAAGTTAGAGCTCCATTGCAAATATGGGATAAAAACACACACATGAAACAGATGCATGTATGGGTTATGCAAACAGTGCACTGGGCGAAAAAAGTGGCTATTAATTAAAAGCAAGTCTCAGGACTCACGGTTCTTATATTATTTTCAAAATAAATTTCAATTAAATATTTATTAAAAATACAACTTTAAAAATCAACTTATTTGGGTTTATTTTCTTTAAAAACTAGCTACCTTTTTCTCTGCCTGTATGCTCCCCATTTCATTTATATATATGGATACATGGGTATATATATTTATTTTCTTTTTGCAGAGGCACTTCAAATGCGGTTTGGGGCCGCGGAATCAAGCGCCAAGAGACCTCATAAAAAACGACTAAGGCAACTGACACAGACAGATACGGGGGGGTAGCACATAGATACTCACTCATACTAGAGCGCATATTGAGTTGTGGTTTAATGCCACACACTCGCACACACACACACACTCGCAAAAGGGTTCAAAGTTTGGCAGCAGCAGAGAAACCAAAACAGAAATTTTTCGCTCCATTTTTTTGTGTTCATTTTTTTTTTTTTTTTTTAACGAAATTTGTGCCATTGCATAACCCCCTTTTTGTGCACGCCTCTGGCCCTCGACAATATTGAAGCGAGGCCTCAGCTTCACTTTGGCCACCGAAAAACTGCCACAGATTAAGCAGGGAATTGAAACTAGATGGGGGAATGCAGGGAAAACTATAAATTACAAGTCATAGATAAAGGCATAGTGTATAACAAATTTAATAGAATTTATTTTAATACTAAAATTAACTTGAATTTAAACCAATTTAAACTGGAATCCAGGGCGTCGCCTTGCTGGCAACTTGAGTTTCCCCCCTCACAAAGTTCGGCCCAAAACTGGAAACTGCGGCGAGGATTTCCACACGACAACTGCAGACAGAGGAAGAGAGGAAGAGGGAGAGGTGAGGCCCTCGTCGTGATGCACTGCATCCATGGCGAAAAGTTCATTAATCTAGTTACAAGTTCGCGCAGACAGTTCGCATAATCAATCAATAGAGTTGGGGGGAGTTGTAGCTGGCTGTAAGCTGGCAGCTTGTGCTGGATGCTGGGTGCTTGGCGGGTGCCTGGGTTCCGGAGATTAAGTGTCAGGGATGGGGAGTTCTGGGGGCGTAAACATGTCGAGACTCAGCAAGGGGCGTGACATTTTTTTGCGGTTTTCTGGCTGCTGAGTGACAGAAACAGGATAGCATTTTCTAAGCGCATTTTTGCCTTTACCGACGTTTTCCTTCCACACAGTACAAGGCAGCGAAAAATTCAATTAACTGGGTACGGATCAGCAGGGATTACTCAACCCTATCTTTAGATGCAAACTACAGCTTTACCAAGTCAAGTAACATATCAACCAAGGTGGGTTTTTAATTTCATTGTGATCACGAGAAAACATCAAGAATGGCTTGGGACTGGGGACTCGTACTGCTCCTGGGTGGGCTCACATCGATCGGTGACGATCTGACCCTCATCCTGTTGGGTTTCCAGCTCCTGCTGCTTGTGGACTTCCGTCTGACTGCCGCCTTCACCTTGATTGGTGGTCTGGTGACAGGCCCCGCAGGAGCAGCAGCCGCAGGTTGGCCGACGCCTACGCTGCTTCTCCAGCCGGTTACGGGTCCTGACCTCCGGATGGCCGAAGCAGTGCTCGCACTCATCGTCCGCAGACGAAGAGCTCTCGTCAAAGGCATGCGGCTTGCGGTAGATGCAGCAGCACTTGGACTTGCGCCGATTCAAGTGCTCGTTGTCGACGACGCCCTCGTGGAAGCAGACGCGCCGCCGCGAAGTCTGCGGCACCTGAGAGGCGAGCCGTAGCCGAAGCACACAGCCCGTGTCCTCGGGCACTGGCACTGCCTGGATCTCGATCTCTGCCGTTACGGGACTTGATCCTATGAGCAACACCTTGGTCGCGGGTGCTGGTAACTTTGGCTCGGTCTCAGCATCGATGGTCGAGACATTGGTCTTTGGCTGATCCATTCTGCTCGAATTTTGGGTTTTTTTATAGAATTTTTTATAGAATTTTTTACTACTGAATTTCGGGTCGAAATCAAATCTGGTTTGGCTCCTGGTCCCCTGATCGTGTTTGTGATTTTTGGGGCTACGCCTGCTGCCTAGCGTTCCGTAAATACATATAACTTTATCGATAAGTACTTGGAGGCTGCTGCTGGCTACACACCGCCAAGTTTGCTGACCTCTCCTTGGCTGCCTTTCTCTGTCTCACTTGCTCTTTCTCTCTCCCTCTCTCTTTCTCCCTCAGTGTGGCCATCTCTGTCTGCTGTCTCGGCTTTAGCCGCAGTCATTTTGGCTGCCAAAACTTGGGCACGATTTACGTCAATTGGACAAGCGCCAGGACACGCCTTAACCCCACAGTGGCCCAGCCGCCCATTTAACCCATAGCCACCCTCTTGGCCCACCCACTTTTCTGCGCCCGTTCTGCAGCCATTTTCCCCGAAAATCCCCCCAAAGCAGAGAGAACTCCAGCTCCATGTTTACCTAAAATGCAATTCTCCATTCCCGCTGCAGTTTTGCATTTATTATTGAGTGAAGGCTGGGCTGCTGGCGGGTTGGAAAACCCATTTTCCGTTTTACTTTACCACTTTGCCTTTGAAAATTGCACAAAAAATGGTGCCCCCTACCCGGTATATATATATATTTTCCTTTTTTTTTTGTGTATTTACGCATGGCAAATAAATGTTGAAAATAATATGATGGTGGGGTTAAGGAACTTTTTCCCAGCATCGTTTTCGGTTTCGTCTTTAGTTTTTCAGTTTTTTTTTCACAGTTTTCCCTCCTTTTTTTGTGTAGTTTTTCAGTGTTTTTTGTGTTTTTTTTGTGCTTTTTTTTGGCCACCGCTCTGGTCTCATGTATTTTACTTCTTGTCTGCGTTTATCTGGCATTAGAACCAAGAAAAATTATGTTTGCAGCTTGGACCGCAGGCGGCGGGCATGCTGGGGAGATTGGAAAAGTCAAAGGATGGATGCTTGGTAGGAGGGAGTAGAGAGGATGTCTGCCTCTGTCTGCTGTGCAGTAGATAATAAAAAAGAAGCCGCAGCGTCGCAGCTTTTCGTGGCAAGTGCCAAGCCAACGACCCTGAATGAAAAATTATGCTCAATGCTGTTTAAATAGTTCAGTTTTTCCCAGGCCTCCGCCTCGCTCCAACCCCCCCCAAAGGGGCGTGGTTCAAGTGCAAGGTTCAGACTGGATTCGAGGTGACAAATGGGATTTTCCTGCGAACGAATGTTAAAACGTTTAAATAATTGATGTTCCGTATTTGTAAAAGTTTAGGTTTTTGAAGATCACAGTGCGTATGCGTAATACTTTAATGAATTTATTCATTTCCTTTTAAACCAAATTTATTTCATAAATATTTAAATTCAAAGAAGCCAAAATTATCTTTAAAAAAGACTCTCAAATTCTATAAATAAACCCTTCAAGTCATAGCTTTCTCCTTTAAAAAGATTTTCACCGACACCCAGTTGGGGAATCACCTAAAACTATTTGCAGGCCATTCGACTAAACACTTTGACGGCTGCTCTCCACGCACTTAATGGCCAAATAAAAGTTTTCCTGGGCTCTTGGAAAAGCTGAGGCCGGCAAAAGCAAAATCCTCGAGCGCCTGTGGCCATAACTTTCTTTCTCTGTGTGCCATTGAAATGAAATCTAAAATTCATTACGCATTTTATGCGTCAAAAAGAGATTGGGGATTGGCCAGAAAAATGGGCGGGCTGGGGGGTGGTAATGAGGCGCGTGCCTGGTCTACGCACAGACCAACCCACCACCACCCCTCACTGTTCCCGTTCCCGTTCCTGGTGGGGCCAAATGGCATTTATGTCCCAATGGAGACACGCACAAAACGCGACGACAGCAACGCCTTTGACTGTCTCTCCTGTCTCCCGTCTCCTGTCTCCTTCTCCCTTCCCGTCTCCAGTTACCCAGATCTCCTCCAGTTTTCCTTAGGATTTCCCTGTCCGCCTCCTCCCCGCTCAATTTGCCCACCGGAATTGTAAGCTCAAGCGTCCGTGTCTCCTTTGTCGCTGGTGGTTGTCTTTGGGGAATAAGATGAATTACATGCTACTCCAGGCTGCCAGGCTGCCAGGCTGCCACTGCCTCCAGCTCCCGCCTCCACTTGAATCTCTCTCTCTATCTTCCAGCGCCCAGTTTCCACCGGCTTCTCTGGGGCATGCAAAATCATGCAGATAACGCACAAAAAGGTACCAGAAACTAAATCCCCAAGCGAATAGTTTACCAGCAGGATGTCGTTCTCTTAAAACAGTGGAACATAGGCTCTTAAAAAAGAAAAAGAAAAGATAAATGTAAGGAGCAGAAGATGGAAAATTTCTAAGGATAAGCTTTAAATGAAAGTCCTCAGATGAAATGCAGTTTGTACTAGGAAAAACTTAGAGGAAAGCAAGCCAGAAAGTAGGATTACCTTGTAAAAGCAATGGGTACGAAGCATAAATACCACAAAAATATATCTTAAAATATAGAAATTAAAATATAAAATTACCTAGGAATTACCAAGACAGCAAACCATCTTAAAGACATGGAAAAATAAGCCTTTGGAAAAACCCAACAAACCTAATTTGCGGCTCACACTCGATCAGTGGGGTTGCTGCTGCCACCCCATGCTGTTTGAAATTTATGGAAATTTCCATTTAACAATTTCCGTCTCGAATCGAAAGCAGTGTGCCAGGGAAAAGGCGAGTGTTGGGAATGGAGAGCGGAATCAACCGCACGGAAATCATGTCTACGCATCATTCTTTGTGCTATTACTCCACTACTCCACAGCTGTCCCCCTTTTCCTCTGCCCCCCTGGTACATTTATCTTTCTTTTTTCTTCTTTTCTTTTTTTTTTTTTTTTTTGGAATTCCTGTATTGTATTTGGTTTTGGTGTGTGTGTGTGTGATTTTGCGTGGCTGTGTGGAAATGTGTGATAAGCAGTTTCCGCCAGGGAATAGACTCCATATATATGTATAAAAAAATATATATATAAATATATGTATGTGTGTATTGTGGTGTGCGAGGATAGTTCTTTGAATGCCTACGCCTTGCCTTTTTTCCTTTTCATTGGCGTCGAATTGTCCAGTGCCCACAATTAAGCACTGAGAAAAAGTAGAATAGAGTCTTCATTTATTAAGAATTATTAAATAATTGGTGTGACCATAAAACCTATAAGGTTAAGGTCACACTTCCTCCTTTAACTTAACTAAACAAAAAAATTGCAATAGCTTAAGGAACATTTTCCCAACACAAATCAAAATTAATCAAAGAAACCATTTTTTAAATATATTAAAAATTTATATTTATTTATCTTTACTTTTCTCTCAGTGCACCTTTACCAGCGGCCCAGTTAGACACTGAAAAAAGGGGGACTCAGTCTTCAGAATTGAGCCACATCTCATAGTTTGGGGGCGGCAAAAGGGAAGCGGAAGCTGTGGCTACTAATGCAAATATAATGGCAAATGTTTCGGAAATATATTTCACGAATAAAATTGATAAAGAACACGCCGCCATCGTCCTTAATCCGCCCCCTGCACCCTGCCCCTCATCCCTAAACAAATCCCATTGTATGCGGCGGCAAGCGGAAAACTATTTGCTAGCATTTTTCCCACTTTTCCACTCTCCTTTATGCAGCAGCAGCCACAAACACAACAAAACAACAGCAAAGGGAGAAAGACATCTCAAAGACGACTCCTCACTTGTGATTCCCAAGCCCCTTGGTCCTTTGTATCCTTTTCCCTTTGGGTTTTCTTATCTATCAATCTATAACTTTCATCATATCCGACTATGGTCCAAGGATTGTCCAGGGAGGCGAACAGAAATGTAGGTTTATCGTGTTCATTGTCTTGAATTTCGTAGGAAAATATACATATATTTATTATATGAGATATATTTTTAGACTTGTTTTTATTCTTAACTTGTATAGAGAAGAGTTTTATAAACAGGATAAACTAATGACTTTCTTTATGTGTTTGTGTTTAGTTTTGTTATGGTTTTTTATTTGTATTTTTACTTTTTATTTAGTAAGAAAAGCAATATTAACAATGTGTGGAATTCTGTGTCAAAGATTTGTGATAAGGGATAATTAAAAGTGAAATGTGTGTGGTTCTGGTTCTCAGAATATAGAATATTATCGGATTATACAAAGGCTCTAGGGGGACTTTTCTTTAAAGCGTTAGGAGATAGAGTATGGTCATTTATTCACATGGGAATGGTCACACCACAAAATAAATAAACAGTATTACCCTGTAAACTTGTAATCAGATACTGAAGTTGTAGTTTTATTAAGTTTTCTGATTCCGAATTTAAACAAATTTAATTTAACAATTTTAATTAAATTCTTACAGCATTTAATCTATATTTTATCTATTAAATCTACTTATCTATCTACTCCTACTACTGGTCACACCCTAATACAACCAACAGTGTGACCATCTAACCTGTAGGCCTTCATAAACTATTCATTAATGTGAGGTCTACATTTTATTAGTACTTCTAAGGGTCAAAGAACAATTATCCAACAGCTCTATTACATTTTCCACCGATAAATCCGGTAAATAATAAGCCTGACGGCTTCAATTTGCATTTGCTGCCCCTTGAGCTCACTTTCAGCATCTTCATTTGACTTTTCCAGCTCACTTTCCCCAGCTTCCCTTTCCCTCCGCCATAATAAAAAGCAATTCTCCATCAAATACTTTACGAATAAGTTTGTAGTGGAAAGTTGAGACTTCCTTTCGCCCTTTTCTTGCGATCCTTTCAATTTCTTTCAACGGTCCGAGTTCGTAGCTAATTTCTGTCCACCCTTCCACCACTCGCCACTCGACTATTTTTATGATTCTTGAGCTTAAGTAATCGAAATAAATAAAGCGAAATCTGTGTCACAGCTCTTGTGTGCCATCTGCCCGGCAAAATGTAAACAAAATAAATAAGAAAACGAGACCGAGGCGATGACAATGGTATATTCCCCAAAGAGCTTTTGGGGGGGAAGCCTGGAGCCTGGCCCATCCATCCATTTGTCAGTTTGCAACTACAACTATTATGTATATCCCTTCGCTTCCGGGGGGCAAGGGGAAAAAACGAAAAAATCT